ACATACAAATTATTATAACTAACAAGAGAGCTTAGCAAGCTGGAAGAATATAAGATCAATAAACATGTAATTGTGTTTCATACGCTGCTGCATCTACTGAGAGAATGAAGACAATTCTTAGCATCCAGACCACTAACACCCTGAAGAGGTGGGTGTCACTGGGAAGTCATGAATATTTACAGTGAAGCCCCAGAAGAATTCTGCAGGGGTGTTTGGCCCCACAAGGGGGAAAGGAGAAGGAGAAGCTGCATGAACAAATGAAGGAACTGACTAGTGTTCAATCTTTAGCCACTTACTGCTCACAATCGGTGTTCCACAGACCTCTGTTTACCAGAGTACTGAGTCTGAGTGTGCTTACTTCCCCATCACGGACTCAGGAGAGTGAGTCATTTGTTGAAATATGGAATCTTGGGGCACCTGGGTGGCTCAGTCGGTTAAGCATCCGTCTCTTGATTTCAGCTCAGGTCATGATCTCACAGTTGATGGGAAGGAGCTCTGTGCAGAGCCTGCTTGAGATTCTTCCGCTCTCTCTGCCCCTTCCCCGCTCATGCTCTTGCATGTTCTCTCTCAAAATAAATAAACATGAAAAAAGGAAAGATTCTCTCTCTCCTACTCTCCCTCACTTGTGCATGCGCATGCTCTCTTTCTCTCTCTCTCAAATTAAAAGAAAATGAATCTCTTAGAAGAAAAGTACATCTGCAGAGGATGCATGAGATCAGGTGTTTCTTGTTTAGTATCTGAAGTATAAAAGGAAGAGCTGATTTTTTAAGGAAATGACAACATATTTGCATCAAATTCAGCTGCTTTGATTCAGCAAGCCGTGACAATTTAAAACAAGAATATCACAAGTTTTTCAGACGGTATCCATGTCTCTGTAAAAGAATGGTTCAGGGGCGCCTGGGTGGCTCAGTCAGTTAAGCGTCTGACTTTGGCTCATGTCATAATCTCACAGTTCATAGGTTCGAGCCCCGTGTTGGGCTCTGTGCTGACAGCTAGCTCAGAGCCTGGAGCCTGCTTCACATTCTGTGTCTCCCTCTCTCTCTGACCCTCCCCTGCTCATGCTCTCTCTCTCTCTCAGAAATAAATAAAAACATTAAAAAAAAAAGAAGAATGGTCCAGCAGGCTTATGAATCAGATTTAAGAATGCTCCAGCTACCAAACCAACAAGAATTGAAACGACATCTAAGGCCAATTTGAAATTTTTTTAAAAAAATTGCAAAACACTATAATTTTTTAAGTTTATTTTTTAAATGTATTTTTTAGTGATGTTTATAACTAACGTGGGGCTCGAACCCACCACCCCGAGATCAAGAGTTGCATCCTTCTCTAACTGAGCCAGCCAGGCGCCCCAACACTTTATAAATTCTTTAAAAATATTTTCATTCCACATATCAACGATGAGTGATCAGAAACTGCACTTTTAAAAAGACAGCATTGATAATAGTAACAAAACTAGCATTAAGGAAGAAAACTAACAAAAGGGTTGCAAGACATGTTGAAGAATTTCTACATCTTTCTTGAAGAAAAAAAACCCCTTAAACTAATAGATACCTGCTTTTGTGGACAAGGAGATTTGAGTTTATAAATAAGTAAGTTCGGGGGCGCCTGGGTGGCTTAGTCAGTTAAGCATCCGACTTTCGCTTAGGTCATGATCTCACTGTTTGTGGGTTCGAGCCCCCCGTCGGGCTCTGTGCTGACTGCCAGCTCAGAGCCTGGAGCCTGTTTCAGTCTGTGACTCCATCTCTCTCTGACCCTCCCCTGCTCACTCTGTCTGTCTCTCTCTCTCTCCTAGAAATAAATAAAAAAACATTAAAAAAAAATAAGTAACTTCTTCCCAAGTTGATCTGTAGATTCAATGTAATTTCAGCCAAAACACTAACAGGAGTGTTTTTTGGAACTGATTCTAATATTTAAATATTCTAATATTTAACAGAACAGAAAAAGGCCAAGAATAGCCGAGACACTATTAAAGAAGATTAAGGAGGGATCCTGCTCTATCAGATATTGGGACTTAGTTTTGAGTCTATAGATTCTATTGCCTCAATAGACAGTTCTGACTCAAGGACAGTAAAATTGGCCACTGGAATAGAATAGAAGCCACAGACAGAGGCCACGCACGTATAGACTTTCGCTGTATGTCAGAGTAGAATGGCAGATCAGCTGAGGGGAGAGACAGACATTATTCCATATGTGAAGGAGGAACAAACGTAGATTAACACTGCACATCACACAAAAATCAACTCCAGGTAGATTAAGGCTTTCCGTGTCCAAAGGAATACATAAAACTTTTAGTGGAAGCTATACTTGAATACCATTCTAATCTTAGGAGAAGAAAGATTTTTTTTTTTTTAGGAGCACTGAGTAGCTCAGTTGGTTAAGCGTCTGAATCTTAATTTCCACTCAGGTCATGATCTCGAGGTTTGTGAGTTGGAGCCCTGTGTGGAGCTCTGCGCTGAGAGTGCAGCCCCTTCTCTGCTCGTGCTCTCGCTCCCTCACTCCCTCTCTTTCAAAATAAATGAATAAACTTTTAAAAATAGTGAAAAAAATAAAAAGAAAAAAAAGAAAGATTTTATTAAATGAAACCCAAAAGACATTCAACAGAAAAGAGATTAGGTGCGCCTGGGTGGCTCCGTTGGTTAAGCCGCCGACTCTTGATTTCGGCTCAGGTCATGATCTGATGGTTTGTGAGTTTGAGCCCCACATCGGGCTCTGTGCTGACAGTGCCCTCTCTCTTTGCCCCTCCCCTGCTCTCTCTCTCTTTCTATTTCAAAATAAATAAAGCCTTAAAAAAATAAAGCTATGTGAATCTATCTTTTAAAAAAAGAGATTACTGAACATGGTTGTATTACAATTAAGAACTTATATTCATCAAAGGTCGCCTTTAAAAAGTGAAGACAAGTTACTCATTAGAAGATATTTACAGTGCATATAACTGAAAAAAAAAACCAGTATGAAAATGTGTAAAGCTCTCCCATCAATTCAATAAGAAAGTCAAACACGCTATGGGCTACAGGGAAATGGGCTGCAGATGGGACCGAGAATTTTTTTTTTAATGTCTATTTTATTTTTGAGAGAGAAAGAGAGCAGGGGGAAGAGCAGAGAGAGAGGGTGAGAGAAGACCCAAAGCGGGCTCAGCGCTAACAGCACAGAGCCCAATGCAAGGCTCAAACTTATGAATTGTGAGATCACGACCTGAGCCAAAGTCCGATGCTTAGCTGACTGAGCCACCTAGGCTCTCTGGGACCAGGCATTTTAGAGAGGAGGTGTTTATACGCCATTGAAGACAGATTTTCATGCCCCTTGACAACTAATGAGATGCAAATCAAAGCCACAGCTAGCGAGCTTTCAAAAAAACTGAGAAATTCAAGCACAGCAGACTGTAGATCGACAGGGCCCACTAGACACAGACAGGTGTATTCATGGGTGCAATTGCTTGGGAAAACTATTTGTCATGATAGGAACATGCACACACCCTCAGACCCAGTAATTAAATTCTTAAGTAATGCTGTAAAAAGTTAAAAAAAAAAAACACTCTTGCATGTGAATACAATGAGATGTGAATACAAACATCTGGAACAACTCAAATGTCCAGCAAGACGAGCTTAGGCAATAGACATGATCGTAAAATGAAACACTGTTAACAGGTAACCACAGTAACAACAGGGATGAACCTCCAGGACATGATTAGCAGGGTTGTCTACAAAGCGAGTCTGAGAAGCGTGCACAGAGGGTAGGCTCAGAAATAGTTACACTAGGGGCAGCGGATGGCTAACCGACATCTGACTTCGACTCAGGTCATGATCTCATGGTTCATGGGTTCGAGCCCGGTGTCAGGCTCTGTCCTGACAGCTCGCTCAGAGCCTGGAGCCTGCTTCGGATTCTGTGTCTCCCTTTCTCTCTCTGACCCTCCCCTGCTCACGCTGTCTCTCTCTTTCTGTCTCTCTCAGAAATAAATAAAACACTAAAATTTTTTTTTCAATAAAAAAAAGAAATAGTTACACTAAACAGTGCATATCTCGGGTGTACATACATATATGAGGTAACACTAGCAATGGGTCATAGATGTAAGTTACCGTCAGTGTTTGGGGTCTTCAGTTGGATGAGGATTCAGCGTTGCTTATCATAATACGGGCAAAATGAGTAGGTACAAGTAAACAATGCCTGTTCCAGAGATTGGTCATGAAGAAGGCATTTCAGATAACTCCATTTAGGGCAACAGGGCCCCAGTTTTGTAAAAGGGGAGAAGGGACATGTTGGCCAGTGGCGGAGTGAGAGACGATTGCAGCCCCTGCTGGCAAAGACGTCGCAGACACGGTGAGAGGGAGAACACAGGGAGATGCAGAGGTGCCATGTGCGGTGCCCCTCAAGGCAGGGATGGACACAAAGCTCTGGGGGTGCAGAGGAGGGAGACGTGGACATGGGCACGGAGGGAGATGGCAAACCTTGCCCAGAGCAGAAGACGCTGACACTGGAGCGAGAGGGACGGTGACATGAAGTGGTCTGATGGAAATGGGAACAGGAGGGCATTTCCGGTGGGAGGAACTGCACATGCAAAGGGTCCAAGTGATGGGGAGACAGTGAGAAGGCCAGTGTGGCTGGACCATAGGCTGGAGTGAGTGGCCTTCAGGGGACACCTCCTGAAGGACTTCAAATATCAACCAAGGAACGTGACTAGATTCTCTAAGCAATGGGAACAAGCACCACGGAAACTCCAGAAAGGCTGGAAACCAATAGTTTCAGGGAGAAATTCAGTCAAGCCGTGTCCAGCAAAGGGGTGAAGTGGGCTCAGTGATAACCAGGGGTGGAACAAGAGGTGTCTCTCTCTCTCCCCACTCAGTCTGGGAGATGAAGGGGAAGAAGAGAAGGGAAGTCACCCCCCAGGTGTCTGCTCAGGTGACCGGGGTGGGGCAGGGGTGGGGAAATGCTGAGGAGCTCCATCTGGAGTCTGAATGGACACGCCCAGAGCCCCCACTGCCTGAGAAGACCCCGACATCACTCACCCAGGCGACAGTACCCATGACAGGGTCTTCATCATCCATGACCTCTCGACCCCCAGATGCTTGCTTCCTGCGGGCTTTCACTCTAAAAGGAGAAAGCAGCACACTGCAGCCAGGACGGCTCATGTGGGCAGGCTGTCTGCTCCCAGGCAAAACCGCTAAGGTCCCTACAACCCGGCTCAGACCTTCCTGACACGTGAGGAAGGACTCCATCCCCCTGATGACCTGGGGTTTGGCCAGGCTGAACTTCCATCACTAAAGATCCCTTAACACATAAAAACATGTACATGATGGGGCTCCTGGGTGGCTCTGTCAGTTAAGCATCCAATATCGGCTCAGGTCATGATCTGGCGGTTCATGAGTTCAAGCTCCGCGTCAACACTCTGTGCTGACAGCTCGGAGCCTGGAACTGCTTCAGATTCTGTGTCTCCTCCCTCTCCTCCTCTTCCTTCCCCTCCCCCCCCTTCTTCTCTCTCTCTCTCTCAAAAATAGACGTTTAAGAAAAAAAAAAAACATGTACCCAAGTGGGGACCTAGGTGGCTCAGTTGGTTAAGAGTCCGACTCTTGATTTCGGCTCAGGTCTTGACCTCACAGTCCGTGAGTTTGAGCCCTGCACTGGGCTCTGCACTCTTGGGGTTCTGTCTCTTCCCCTCTCTCTCTGCACCTTCCCTACACATGCACACATAATCTCTCTCTCCAAATAAGTAAATAAACATTAAAAAACAAACCAAAAACTTGTACACGAGTGGTCATGACTTATTCGTGATAGCCAAAAAGTAGGAATGGCCCAAATATTTATCCATAGATGAACAACACATAAAATGTGCTCCATCCACGCAATGGAATATGACATAGAAGTAAAAAACAAACAGAATGAAGGTCTGACACATGCCACACAACACGCATGAACCCTGAAAACCCCATGCTAAGCGGAGGAAGTCAGTCGCAAAAGACCACATACTGTAGGATTCCACTTAGATAAAAAGTCCAGGGGCACCTGGATGGCTCATGACATTCTCACTGTTTGTGAGTTCAAGCCCCTCATCGGGCTCTGTGCTGACAGCTCGGAGCCTGGAGCTGCTTCCCATTCTGTGTCTCTCTGTCTCTGTGCCCCTCCCATGCTCATGCTCTGTCTTGCTGTTTCTCAATAATAAATAAATGTTAAAAAAATTTTTTTTGAAAAGTCTAGAAGAGGCAAATCTAGAGAGATGGAAAATAGATTGGTGGTCCCCTAGGGCTGGGGCGGGGGGAGGGGGGGAGGATGAAAATGAAGGACTGTAGGTTTCTTATTTTTAATTTTTAATGTTTTATTTCACACACACACACACACACACACACACACACACACACACACACGAGTCAGAAAGAGGGAGACACAGAATCTGAGGCAGGCTCCAGGCTCCCAGCTGTCAGCACGGAGCCCAACGCGGGGCTCAAACCCACGAATCGTGAGATCATGACCTGAGCCGAAGTCGGATGCCTAACCGACTGAGCCACCCAGGCGCCCCAAGGAGTGCAGGTTTCTTTTGTTTGTTTCATTTTGGGCTAATGAGAAAGATGTATAATTGTAGCAAAGGACGCACAAGTCTGTAAATATACTACATTGAATTGCACACGTTAAATGTATGGGCGTTATATCCCAGTAAAGCCATTACCACCCCTTCTGGCGGACCCTACTCAGCCCCTACTTCTGGGATGGGAGCCTCTCTCCGCACCCCTGCGCGCCCCGCCCCGCACCCACTTACATGCAGAAGAGCGCGCACAAGCACAGGCACAGCAGAGCCGAGGCTCCAGCGCCTCCCACAGCTGCAGACGCGGCTTCTGCCAGGGAGAGCGACTTCGCTGCGTAGACAGGCGGGAGATTGACTTCCAGGACTCAGTCTCTTGCCTCCCTACCTCGTTGCAGAACTTGCTGAAGGGCCTGCTCAGGCCCGAGGTGGAGCACCCTGTCCCATGGACGGCCCTCTGCCCCCACGCCCGCCCCCACCGAGGCCGTCTTTTCTAGGATCCAGACTCCCTTCTCCGCCCCACCTTCCCCGACGCCCCCAGACCTGGCAGCAGCACCAGGACGGTGGCGCTCTGGGCCCCGTGTGCGTTCCGGGCCTCGCAGCTGAGTCTGAGGTCGGAGCCCAGCGGCCCAATGAGGCTCAAGGAGCTGTTGGCCCAGGGCCCCGCGGAGCTAGAGGTGACGGTCAGGGAGGCGTTGCTGCGGTTCCCCTCCAGCAGCCCCTCCCCCAGCCGCCAGCGCAGGGTGGGGGCCGGCCGGGCTGCGGAGGAGCAGGTGCAGCGCAGCCCCTCGCCCTCCCAGGAGCAGGAGGGGCTGAGCCGCCGCGGCGGGTCTGCGGGGTGGGGGGAGGGGCGGGGTCAGCGGCGCCTCTGCTCCCCAGGCCCCGGGCGCCCCGCCCCCGGGGGTCCCCGCACTCACAGACCACAGAGAGATGCAGGGAGACGTGCTGGGAGCCCAGCGAGTTCTGGGCTTGGCAGGTGAGGACTCCTTCCTCAGCCCCGACTCGAGGCAGCTCCAGAGTGTGGTTCGTGCCCACGGGGGTGGCATTCAGGGCGGGGTACCCCCGGAACCAGCTCAGCTCGGCAGGGGGGTTGCCGGCAGCAGCACAGAGCAGCCGCAGAGCCTGGCCCTCCCAGATGTCAAGGGATGAGGTGTTTTCCAGAATCCTGAAGGCTTTGCGGGGAGAGATGCAGAGAGAGGAGAGCGAGGCATTAGAGAGAGCTGTTGGAGACTGACGGTCTCCATCTCCCTCCTTGCCAGGACCTGGCAGGCATCTCCCTCTCCTTCCCTGACCCCCTGAATTGGGTCCATCAGGGTTCAAAGGCGGAGCTTTACGTGCAAAAGAGGTTGACCCCAAGTGTCGGGGCCTCCTATATTCAGAGGAGGCTCAATGCCCCCACTGGACATGCCTGGGCTGTTTGGTGGCTTCACTCAATGAATGCAAGGAAACAGAATGGAGGAGGCTGGCGTCGGAGGGGGAGGAGGGAAACCACAGCGGTGAAAGGGGAGGTGGACAGTGTGTGTGTGTGTGTGTGTGTGTGTGTGTGCGCGCGCGCCACATTTGCACCCAGACTAACTGGAGGAGGGAGGGTGGGGACATTTGCTCTTCCCTTACCTGATCCTATTGAAGCTATTGATCCCCAGGCCCTTGCTGGGAACTGAGCCCCCACCCCCACCCCAGGCCAGACCCCAGCCCCCAAGAAGGAAGGTGCTTTCCTACCTGTGACATTGCTGAAGAAGATGCCTATGGTGAGGTTGTGGGGAGCATCTGGGATAGAAAGATACAGTCCTGCTCAGAAGTGAAGATTGGTGTGGAAGCTGACCCAGCACCCAGGGAGAGTAGGCGAGCACTGGGAAGGTACGATGGCCATCCTTCCCTTTTCCCCTCACTCCCACTCCCACACCTGTCCAATCCCACTGCCCTGAGAGACCCAGCAGCGCCCCCCTTCCCCAAACTCACAGGAGACATTGAGCCAGATGGTTCTTTCCAGGGTGGCCTGAGCTCCTGGCAGTTTCACCTGACAGGTGAGGTTGGTGCCATGGTCCTGCGGCCTCTGGGTGAAGCCCAGCACCGACGAGTGCAGGGTGTTGGGGTCCAGCGAGTCCAGAGCAGCCCCCGCCCAGGAGAATGTGAGAGGCCTTCCCCCTTCGCAGGACCCCGGCAGGCTGCAGGTCAGCTGTGCGGGCCTGCCAGACTCCAGGGGCTCCGGGACGTGGATGTCTGGTTCCTGTGTCAGATCTGAGGAGGAAGAGAGGGAGGTGCCTGGGCCCCAGGGGGTGATGACCCTCAGTGCGACCCTGAGAGGCACAGGACCATGGGGCCCAAGCTGACCCTGGGCCTGTATCTTTTTCAACAGTCCCAGCCCCAAGACCTGGAGCAGGGAATGTTCTAGAGTCCTGGCCTGCTCTAAGAGGGGGTGTCCACCCCCAGAGCCCTCTCCCGGGACCCCTGCCATACCTGTCACCTTCACAGTCAGCGGCATATCTCTGTAAGTGTATTTCACGTCCTCTCCTCTCTCCACTCGGAAGTAGTAGACTCCCTCGTCGCTCCTCCGGGCCTCTCTGATTCTCAGGGAGCAGTCGCCTGTCCTGGGGTCCCCTGTGAGCTGGAATCGGCCCTTGGTGTCTGTCTTCACTGGTCTCCCTGGGTTGTTTGTAGCCGCTGGATGACTGTTGCTTGAGGTGTCCCAACCCCGGAACCAGTATACTTAGAGCATCTTCCTGGAAGACCCAGTTCTCCAGGGGTAGGAGAAGGAGCAGCTCACGTGGACACACAGACCCTCCTGCACCGTCACGGGTTCCTGCACTCGCAGCTGGATCCCTGGATCCTCCTGTGGGGACCCTGAGGATCATGGAGGCTCAGCCGGGGCTCAAGCCCCCTCCCCCCTGAGCCCAGCCGTCCTGCCTCGGCCCACTCACCCCCCCACAGCAGGAGCAGCAGCAGCAGAGGCACCATGTCCGCAGGGACCAGGGCAGGAGCCCGGATCCAGGTCCGTCTGTCAGGGAGGGAAATGTGCTAATGTGGGGGAGGCCACGGGAGCCCCAACAGGAAGCCGTGTGTGACAGAGCTGTGGTCACCTCGGAAGGGGAACTTGGGCGGCACAGGCCCTGGCGGGGGAGGGGCGCTGAGGTGGGGCTGAGAAACTATCTTGTCTCATCTCTGCCTGTGACACAGCCCGTGAAAGTAAAGAGGGCCCTGGAGGCCGGGGTGCTCGTCCAAGTGAGTCTGACAGTGATCCCCTTGCAAATGACATTGAAGTCCAGAGTGAGGTGAGCACAGGGCGAGAGCAGCTGGAAAGGAGAGACAGGGAGCATGTGGGCAGCTCAGCCCCTTCCCCTCCAGCCCCTTCTCTTCCCAGTTCCCCGTGAGCCTGAGCAACCACGCTGGGCTGATTCCGGGCGTTCGTGCAGGCCCCGTGGGGTTGAGGCCCTCATCATGCCCTCCAGCCCCTACACCAGACCTGGGGCCCTCTGAGCCCCAGCTGCGGGGCTCCACAGCAACCTCCAGCCGATCCGCACAGCCACTGCTCACATAAAGAATTCGCTGAGCCTACCAGGAAGTCAGCAGGACTCAAGCATCCAGAGGAAAATCTGCAACAGGTGCAATATTCCCCGAATCACCTTGCCCAGGAAAGAAATGAATTACAGAACTGGAGCTTCTGGAAAGAACAAACAACGCCTCCTGAATGACTTCTCTGGGGCCTTGAAGGATTTCCAGGCTGGGCGGGTGAGTATCTGCTAACGAAAAGGAGAGGGTTGCCAGAGAGAGAGCTGCATCCTCCTCTCTGCGGAGGGGAGGCCAAGAGAGAGCAGCTCCTGTCCTATGCTGGCCATGACCAGTGGGACTGGATATAGAACCAGGGGCATGACGCGGCCACCCCGGAGCAGGATCTGGAACTTACTCAAGAGAGCGAAAGGGCAATTCGGCAGCTGCAGGCTGACATTTTGGATGTCCCTCAGATGTCTCAAGACTTGGCCTTGATGATCCATGAAGGAGACCCAAGTGACAGCTCGGAAGCCAACGTAGAAAGCTCAGAGCAGAGGTACATGCAGAGAGAGCTACACTGGTCAGAATCCGCACCCAAGCTGCTTAGGATCAGAAAAGAAAATCTCGCAAGAACGTCTGTATGCTGATGCTTGTTCTGTTCCTTATACTTACCCTTGGTACTTAGTATCTGGCAGATCTTTACATGAAGCAAATGTCTCAGATCTACCCTCTGCTGAGCTGTAGGGGTCCTTTTGGAACAGACAGAGCCTCAGGAAGAGAGCATAAACTGGAATGTCTTGTCCTAATTGAGTTAGAAACAAACTACCAACTAGACAGTGTGTATCAATTTACACACACATTCTCTTGATTTCTCAAATTGGGAGTTAAGGTACGTGTATTTTGCTTGCTCTTGTATTCTGATTGCCCTTCATCCTAAGTGCTTACTGGAACTTCTGTTGTAGACATTCCTGTCTTGACAGGTGACACTAGAATCTTGAAATACCATCTTTTGAGCGTAAATGAGGTTCATCTTTTTACTAACAACTGAGTTAGAATTCCTCTTTGGCACCTAGGATATTGGAGTCTGTCAGAAACTATGTAATAAGACAGCACTCTTTATTATGGAATCTTCTCATTTGAATTTCTTTAAAAAATGTTTTTTATCTTTGCTTATTCTTGAGAAAGAGGCGGTGCGAGCAGGGGAGGAGCACAGAGAGAGAGGGGAACAGAATCTGAGGTAGGTTCCAGGCTCCAAGTTGTCAACACAGAGCCCGACGCGGGGCTCGAACCCACGGACCGCGAGATCATGACTTGAGCTAAGTCACATGCTCAACAGACCTAGCCCTCCAGGTGCCCCCTCATTTGAATTCCTAAGAAGTATCTTTTTCTGCTTCGAGAGATTTCTAGCAATGTGCTTAACTGGAAAGCAATACAATTGCACCGTGATCCAGATTCAGATTTTCCACTGGAGCTGTCCAGTTGTCAGGGGTACGTGTTATTCTGGGTTTTAAGTCTTCTTTTTTAAAAAAAAAAAAAAGTTTATTTCTTTTTTTGAGAGAATGCGAGTGGGCACACAGGCAGGGGAGGGGCAGAGAGAGAGACTCCCAAGCAGGCTTCCCTGTCAGCTCAGAGTGGAAGCTGGGCTCCATCTCACAAACCTTGGGATCATGAGCTGAGCTGAGATCAATAGTCGGTCGCTTCACCAACTGAGCCACCCAGGCGCCCCTGAAGTTTTCTTTCTTATGTGCTGGTGTCCACAGCAGCTCATCCTTGCGCACACTACACTGTCTCCTTCACTTTTTGAAGTGGTGCATTTGATTAGCACTAAATTTCCCTTGAGGCACCACACTGTGGTCCGTCTGAAGGTCGGGCACCAGCATTAGAACAAAGCCCTCCAGGTATGTTTGACAAACGTAGACTAGAAGATCATCCCCGTTTTCTAGAATCGGAGGAAATTGCCAGCACTCACTGCCAGGATCCTCTTTTCCCTAGAAACCCCTATCCCATCACCGCTTAGCCTTCTCCATTCTTACCTCCATCTTCTTGTGGCGATCGGTTTCTTCTTCCAAAGCACATCTAGGGAGTGTGTGTGCTAAGTATTCTGATGCACCTTGGGCTTCCAGAATGGAGGAAACCCTCCTCTGCTATAAAGCAGGGCAGAGTCTGGTTAATGTAAAATCCAGGGAGCCAGACTGAGGGGGCAGATGGATCCGAAGGAGCACGTCCGCCACTGGAGGCAGGAAATAGGTGCTGGAGGACTAGGGGGTATTTTGTGGGAGGGTTTCTGTTTTCCAGTGAACACTGGAGTCGATGCCAGTCTCCCTTGGCACTGGAGATCCAGTGAACAAACGCATGTGGCTTCTCTCACGCAGCCTGCAATTCAGTAACGCGAGATGAAAGAACCCGAGATGATCTCGCGTAGACTTCGTCTGGAACAGGGCTCTGGAATGAGGGCATATTGGCCAAATCCGGCAGCCACCGTATGCGAAGGCTTACTTACCCGTCTGGTTGTGATGTATGGCTGCTTCTGTGTTACAGTAAGAGTTGAAAACCCGTATGCAGAGTCGCTGTGGCTGAAAACACTTGCCCTGGCCCTTTAAGGAAAAGTTCGCTAAACTCTGAGAGAAAGTCAGATGAGGAAGTGGTGAGCCATGAGGGAGAGGGGAGGGCATCTTCTGAGAGAGGTCCGTCAAGGAACCCATGGTGTGAAGGTGACATTTGAGCACAGACCTAAAAAAAAAACCAACCACCCTCTGGGGTTCACTTGCCTCGGTCTAGATAGAAAAGGGGGATTTAGACAAAACATGCTTTACAAAGACAAATAGCAATGGAGTGCAGTGATTTCACCTTATTGTTGTTCGCCTGTGGTTGTGTGGTCGTGGGGAACAGTGAGTACTGCCTTCGCCATGAAAAGGCCGCCCCTTTCCCCTGTAAGGGTTGTTGGGCCTTCTATGGCATCAAGATTGTAAAAGCTATGTGGAGGCGGCTTAGAAGTTAGTCCTTGTGGGGCGCCTGGGTGGCTCTTTCCGTTAAGCATCTGACTCCTGATTTGGGCTCCGGGCATGATCCCAGGGTGGTGGGATGGAGCCCCACTTCACGTTGAGCATGGAGTCTGCTTGAGATTTTCTGTCTCCCTCTCTCTCTCTCCCTCGGCCACTCCCCCCTGATCGTGTTCTCTCTGTAAAAATTAAGTGCTCTCTCATAGTAAGAAATATGTTTTAAAAGGGGAAAGTCCTGGAGGTTCAGTGTGACTCACCCTCTAGCTGAAAACCACTGAACATTCTGGAATTGGATCACTTACCATTTCCTTAAATCCATTCAAGTGCAGGCGCGCATGTGGGGCTCTGTCGGTTAAGTGTCCACCTGCGGCTCAGGTCACGATCTCGTGGTTTGTGGGTTTGAGCCCCGCGTCAGGCTCTGTGCTGACAGCTCAGAGCCTGGAGCCTGCTTCAGAGTCTGTGTCTCCCTCTCTCTCTCTCTCTCTCTCTCTCTGCTCTTGCCCTGCCCACACTCTGTCTCTCTCTCAAAAATAAATAAACATTAAAAAAATTAAAACAAAAACACAAACCATTCAAGTGGATGTGGAAAAGAGAGAACTGTCGTGCCCTGCTGGTGGGAATGTAAGTTGGTGCAGCCACTCTGAGAAACAGTTCTGAGGTTCCTCAAGAAATTAAAACCGGAACTACCATATGATCCAGCAATAGGCTTCTGGTATATATGTGAAGGAAATGAAAGCACTCTCTCAAAAGATATATGCACCTGTGTGTTCCTTGCAGCAGTATTTACAATAGGCAAGATATGGGTCCCCTGGGTGACTCAGTAGGCTAAGCGTCTGACTTTGGCTCACGTCATGATCTCAAAGTTTGAGAGTTCAAACGCCTTCATTGGGCTCTGTGCTCACAGAGCTGGGAGCCTGCTTCGCATTCTGTGTCTCCCTCTCTCTCTCTGCTCCTCCCCTGCTCATGCACTGTCTCTCTGTCTCTCAGAAATAAATAAATGGTAAAAAACACTTTGTAAGGATCCTCGGTGGCTTCGTCATTAAGCTTCTGACTTCAGCTCAGTTCATGATCTCAGGGTTTGCGAGTTCAAGTCCCACATCAGGTGAGTGTGGGCCCCATTTCTCTTTCTCTCTCTCTCTGCCCACTCTCTGCCCTTGGTGGCATTCTCTGTCTCACCCTCCTCTCTCTGTCTTCCCCTTGCTCTCTTGCACCTTCTCTCTCTCAGAAAAAGAAATGAAAACATTGCACTTCAAAATATTTTAAAAATATGTAAGTAAATTGAAAAAGATGTTGTGTCAATGGGTTTAAAACAATATTGTATAAAAGTCACCTCTACCTAAGTTAATATGCAGCATCAGAGCAATATATCAACCAATCCCCGGGTGATTTTTGTGGAACTTGACAACTTGTTATCAAATTTGTATGGAAGTAGGGAACCTTAGCTGACTGAGTCAGTAGAGCATGCCACTCTTCATCTCGGGATATGAGTCTGAGCCACACAAGGAATGTAGAAAATACTGAAAAATAAAATATCTTTAGAGGCACCTGGGTGGCTCAGTAACTGAAGTGTTGACTCTTGATTTGGCTCCAGTCATGATCTCGCAGTTCGTAGGTTCGAGCCCCACATCGGGCTCTGGGTTCAAAGTGTGAAGACTGCCTGGGATTCTCTCTCTCCTCCACCTCTGGGTGCACACGCTCTCTCTCTCCAAATAAATAAACGTTTAAAAAAAATAAAATGCTGAGACCTAAGTCAGACTTCTGACTAAGAGTCATTAAAAAACAAAGCATCTGCACACACCGGGGTGGGGGCTAACGTGGAAAAGCCTGATTTTCTCTAGTGTTGGAGGGAGTGCAGAGGAGTCAGACATCTTCAGACCCTG